CCTTCTGAAGTTTAGGGTTCTAGTCCTTCCAGTACACTTCCCTTTTCTGTGTTCAATATTAAAAGTAATCACATTGTGATCACTATTACCCAATGACTCCCCAATTACAATATCCTCGATTAACTCTGCATTATTAGTGACTATTAGATCTAAGATGGCATTTTTTCTGGTAGGAGTCTCCACCATCTGGTCCATGAAGTTGTCGCGCAACATGTTTAGAAATCGCCCCGCCTTTGCCGAACCCGAAGTTCCATTGGCCCAATTTATGTCTGGGTAATTGAAGTCACCCATCACGACTACATTGCCCTCTCTCCCAGCTATTCCTATCTGTGAGTGAAGTATACGAACTCCCTTTGATCTCCTCTCAGTCCCCGAAATGCAGGAAGTGATGTATATTACACCACTTCCTGCATTCAGTACGGACAAAAAGGAACAAGCGCACTACCAAAGGTACTACAAATTAGGCTTCCAACAGGGCTGTGAAAACAGTGTGCGAGCTCTTGAAAACAGGGAGAGGAACCCTGTGTTAGCAAAAAACAAACAGTGTGTGTGTTAAGAGCGCTACTACTGTTTGGGCACAATTAAACAATCATAAAATGTAACAATACTGTTTCACACTTCCAAGGCACCCCAGGGCCACCTCCAAGGCACCCCAGGACACCTAACAGTGAGTCACTTTGTATTCTGGTCATCCTATACTTGTGAAACAAAAAGAAAATTTACATCTTTTAGCAATGCCCTTTTTTTTACCCGATCCTCCCTTCTGTGCACTCACAATCACTGACAAATGGTGGGGGAAAGAGGGGACTGGTTGGTATAGGCATGAAGTACGGAAGGTATTGGAGGATACAGAGAGCACAGGAGAGAGCCTGGGGGTATCAGAAGGCACAGAGAGATGAGAAAGTGCAGCCAACCAATGGAGAAGCTAGACATTCTGTCACCTGGGGAAAATGTGTAGAGTTGCTAAGGGAGATGTTCTCCATCCATATACCTAAAGCAGCAATGGGAGCACATGCCCCCCCTCAGGCCCACTAGCTTCGGCTCTGCCGCCAACACCCAAAGGGCACAGCAGGGATTAAAGTGCAGGCACAGAGGAGAATGACAAGGGGAGTCACATTTTTAATAAATGGCTGGGATGAGTGTCTTGGTAGCCACTGAGCACAGCATTTTATTTATTCTGCAGAGTCTTGCGGAAGTATTTAGTAATAATGGGGGAGGCAGCTAACATACAGACCTATCCAGCTGGAAATGTTTCTGTTCCACTCAGTGGCGGAACTGCGGCCGGTGCGGGCGCACCAGGGCCTCAGCCTCAGGGGTGCCCAGCACAGTCCCGGCCTGTGCATAGATGGTATCCAGCGGCCGGCAGGCACCCCGTCTCTGTGCCGGGAGTGTCAGATCATCCGCTCATCTGACACTCCCGGCGCAGAGATGGGGTGCCCGACAGC